GTGTGTCCATCCGTGCGTCTGTGTCCACCACACTGACGCAGAGCTGGGCACAGGGATGGCTGGGGAGGAAGCGTGCGGTCAGGGGCGTGGCTGTGCATCATGCGTTGAGTGGGCCTGTGGAGTGAGAGAAACTGGGCATGTGAGAAGGGAAGATTGTCCGTCTTTCTCCCACGGAGCTGACGGTTGCTTCACCCCATGTAGAGACGTGCATTCCCTGCGTTGGCAGCACAATCAGTGCAGAAGTGCCCAGCAGAGCGCACTCTGCAGACTGTGGGATCTCTTTCATTAAGGACAACAGCGGGCCGAGCTAATCCATCGTCCTGTCCAGCCGGCTGGGCTCAGGGCAGCTCCCTGCGGCCCGATGTTTTCAGTTCCTTCAGCAGGACCTCCTTTCTCCTGGGGAACCCCAGTGGACTCAGAGATTTCTGTATTTCTGGTTAGCACCTGAGTGCACCATCCATTTGCACTTTCTCGGGTCTCCAGATTTAACTGATGGAGAGGGAACGCAGAACAGTCAGTATCTTTGGAGGGAGTTTCTGGGCTGGTGAGGAATGAAAGGGGACCATTTGTGGGTTTCACAAATGTTGATTTCTTGATTTGACAGATGTTATGTTTGGTATATCTCTGCCCGGGGCCCAGGATCCCTGGTGAGGGACCGCTGCTCTGGGCTTCAGGACCCTCATTCCCTAGGGTGATGGATTCACGTGGTGCCCTCAGCAACGGGCTCTAGTGTGGCCGCGATGATGAGGATGGTACAGGTGCAGGCCTCTTGTTCACAGGGTACTGTGAGGGGTCCTCGACTTGCCGGCACCTGACAGCCCATAGGTAGGTATGCCCGAGTGCACTCAGGGTTCTATTCTATGCCTGTTGGACCTCAGCAGTGTTCACGCGGTGAGGATGATGAGTACAGCAGGTGACCGCAGAGGGAAGGGCATGTCTGAGAACTGGAACAGCCAACAGCACGGGCTGCGTGTGTCCCGGTGTTCCACGCTGTGAGCGGGCCAGCAGGTAGCACTGTCCGGGTGAAGGATACACCTGGGGGAATGCAGATGGACTCTAGGGGTGGGCCGTCATGGGTGGGAAACACGGCCGCTTCCATCTGGGCCTCCGAAGAAGGTGGAGCATCAATCTAGTCTTCTTGTCTTTAAAATGGGTTTTTTGGGGAGAAGTGCATGAGATAATGAATAGAAGAAACCTCTTGTGTTGGATGTGGAATATGTATTTGATGGGTGTTTCTGAGAGAGAGAAAAGGCGGGGAGAGAAGGGAGAGAGGGAAGGGGAGAGAGACCCACTCCCTGGGACAGACCCTTTCCTGCTCTGAAGACCCAATACTTTTATGATTTGGAAGCAGGAGTGGCATCCACTTCCAAAACAACATGCCTCTGGAAACTTGATGAACTTTGATAAGTGACGATAGTTGTAGAGGGGCTTCAGGCCTTTTGTTCATAGGGTCGCTATGAGTCGTGCTCCACTTGATGGTAATCAGCAAAAACTTTCATGATGGGCTGGGGCTGGACACACCTACACCATTCACTTGACTTTGAGCTGTATTATGAAAGAGTGTTAACTTTCCTGAAACTGTTGATCTTCTAGTTCTACTTTTCTCTCATCTAATTATAGTTTAGTATTATATACAGTTATTTCCCTTGTCCTTGAAAGTTTATTCATGATTGAATAATGTTGGGCAGTTTTAGAACGTTGACTCAGAAAAAGCAGATAGACAGTGTCTATTTCTATTTCTTTAAGGCTCTTATTTTGGAAAAAAAATAATTGTATTAATTTTCTTGAAGCTTTTTATTTTCTCCAGAATGGATTTGACTGTGTGGGAGGTACTGGAGAAATTTAGTAGGATTTTTTTTTTTTAAAAAAATAATGAGATTTATCGTTCTGAAATGTTAACAATCATGTTAAATGAGTATCCTAAGTAGCTTCTTGAGCTATGACTGTATTAGAATAAGCAGCTCTTTATGAAACGCTAAACTGCCATGTGAGAAATTGCATGTAATAAGCAATTGACCAAGTTCATTCACGATCTTTTGACAATGCCGACCAGTTTTCTGCCTTCGATTTCCCTGAATATTCTGAGTAACTTTTTCCTTGTTACAAAGGCCAGATTCTGTCTGGAGAATGTGTTTTCTAAGCCTGGCATTTCTGGTTTCTGAGGGTGGCTTTGCATTGGCTGTTTGTTGATGGTGCCCTTGAATCGGCTCCGCTCTGAGGGATGAGGGTCTCTATCCAGGCTTAGTAGGATGAAGCCCTGCTAGACTCTGCACCACCCACAGTCTCTTTAAACAAATTGTTGGAATCGCTGTGTCAGGGGGTCCCCTTGAGCTGCTGCCTTGGCTTCTCTGTCCAGCACCTTCTCCCCAGGATTGGCCCCTCTTGACGATGTCTTTGTCTTTGTGTCTGCACCGTGGGTGTCTCAGTTGCCCCTGATCTTTCTCTGTTGCAGGAGCGAGAGAGCCCGCTGGACCACAGCCCTGGGACACAGCAGTGGGAAGCAGCCTGACCGGACCTGTAAGTTGGCTCCCGGGGCCCTGGGACGTGGAGGGACGCTGCCCTCTGCTGGACACCGGGGTGTTGATGGCCGTGAACCTCAGATCTAACACAAACACTCAAGGCCTTTCCAAGAAGCTGGGCTTTGTGCAGACCGCCACAGCCTTCTCCTACACTGAGGCTTTTGGGTTCAAAACCGCCCTTCTCGGTAGCAGCTTAGCTCTGCACCCCAAGTGTTGTTAACGGATTATGCCACCACGGGACCCTCACCACACATTTCCTTCTGCCCCACAGAACTTCACAACCCCCTTTGGAAGCTGGGCCCTCTGAATTCAAACCAAGGTGTTGTTGTTTGACATTGAGTCACGCACATGCCTGCAAGAATAAAATCAGTCACCATCAAGTTGACTGCAGTGCAGGGAAACTCCATGTGTGCTGACATCGAACTCTGCACCATGGAGATTTAACTAACTTCCATCCAAAGCAGGGGTCCTGGGGTTCTGGGGCATGTAATTAACGTTACGAATGTGTACCCTTTAGAAAGTGGTTTAAATGGGCACAGTAACATCTAAAACATTTTAAAAATTTTGTCTTTAAATTTAAATTGGTTTTAAAATTCACTAGATTGAGTCTTGTGTTCAAGGCCAAATTAAGAGATCACATTCTGCAGTTCCGTTTCTGAAGTGAATCGGTTCTGTGATGGAACCGCTGTTTTCTGGGAGATGCCTTCGGAGTTTCTGGCTCGAGTGCTTGTCTCTGAAGAGCTCTGGCCACTGTCACGGACGGTGACAGGCTGAGGCCGCCCGCTGGTGAGCTGTGTTACCAACGATCAGCCTTCGCCTGGCTTGGGTGCGTTGTAATCTGCTGCCTCGGTTTCCCCACTGCACGACGGAGTGGCTCTCCGCTCCATAGGCTCCCTTCCAAGACTATTCCTAAAGGAACTTAGGAGTCATGAAAGGCCTCTCTTGATTTTGAGCGTGTAATATTCTAAAGCTTGTAACCAAGTTCCCAGAGGACTGGACGCCACACTGAGCAGCACAGGCAAAGCCAGCTAGCGGCTGTCCACTGCCGAGGGGACCCGCTTGGTGTCCTGTGCTGTTGGATGCTCAGTGCCCCGCCTTTCCTCCACAGCTCTGACCCAGGTGGAAATCATCAGGTCTTTCACCGCCAAGCAGCTGGATGAGCTCTCCCTGCAGGTGGCTGATGTGGTCCTCATTTACCAGCAAGTCAGTGATGGTGAGTGGGGGGCACGCGCAGGCCTGGGGCCTGGGGGTTCCAGATGCATTTTCACATCACTTCCTGTGTTCTGTACAGGACCCCAACCCAATAATGGGTGAAACCCTCTGTACAGTCTTATTCAATGACACCTTTTGGCTCTTTTTCCTTTTTCTCTGGGATGTCATTTCTCAAGCCAGTGGCTTCTCAAGCACCCTAAAGATGGCTTAGGGAAATGTTCGAAGAACTTAAGTGCATTTGAAAGATTTTATCTTAAGTACAAATGTCAACATTCTCTGTTGCTAACAGGAAGGTTGGTAGTTCAGATCCCTCCGGAGGTGCCTCACAAGAAAGGCCTGGTGATTCTTTTGATCAGGCCCTCAAAACTGTACAACAGAGTGCTTGGACACACATAGGGTCACCTTAAGGTGGCATGAACTTGATGCCACTAAGTTTATATATATGAGGGAGCTCTGGTGGCCTAGTGGTAAGAAGCTGTGCTGCGATCCCAAAGGCTTGTGGTTCAAATCCACCAGTTGCTCAGTGGGAGGCTGGGCAGTCTTGTCCCAAGTGATTTCCTGCCTCTCAAAACCTACTGGGGGGACAGCTATGGTTCAGCTCTGACACAGTAGTACATACAAACACACACATATACATATATGCACATATACATACACACATATATATTCACACACACACACACACACACACACACACACACACACACACACACACTTTTTCATATGCACCTGCCTCTCATGTTTGCATTTTACTGATAAGTTTTCTAGTAGAAGTGCAGCCATATAGTTTGCTATTCAAAATTAATCATGCAAAGTTCTCCTCCTTACTTTCTCCCGTAACCTGGTTCTCATCTTTGAAGGTTCTTCTATCAAAATGGAAAACACTTACTGCCCGATGCCCCTGCTCCACAGTCCCCTGCCCTCAGTCCGGCCTCACATACTCTGTTGCCAGAATGCAGTTCATCCCCGGTGGGACGTCCCCCCATCCCATAGCTCCTCACCTTCCCCCCTGGGGCGGAGGCTGCCTCTCTGTGCTCCCACCTCCCTGCTCACCTCGGGTTCTGTTGTTTGCAGGCTGGTACGAAGGGGAGAGGCTGCGAGATGGAGAGAGGGGCTGGTTTCCTATGGAGTGTGCCAAGGAGATAACGTGTCAGGCTACGATTGACAAGAACGTGGAGAGCATGGGACGTCTGCTGGGCCTGGAGAGCCACGTGTGACCTCTCAGATGACCTCCTGCTACTTAAAAGATTTGCACTATGTGTTGCCGGTGGGCAGGCCGGCTCTGGGCCGGCTTTCCTGTTCGTTGTCAACACAACCTGCTTGTTTCAAGGACTGAACCACCTGCCGTCAGGCTTGCCAGGCTGCTGCTCTGTGGGCGAGCAGTTTCCGTTGAGCTCGTTCACAAGGCTGTTTGGGCCACTGTCCCGTGGTGGGCTCTCGGGGCCACGGAGAAGCCGAACTGCTGCTCCTGCCAGTCTCACTGGGTGCTGACAGGAACATGCGCACGCTGCTGTCGCCTTTCTCCACACCAGGAACTGTCCTGTCCCTCTTTAAACGTCCCCTTTGTGTGTTCACCCAGTCGTGGTGAGAGTTTATGTCCTCATGGGATGCCCAGTTTTGTAAAGACTCTTTTGCAGCCTGATTTTAATGCTGTGTTAATTTCAAAAGGAACTAGTACAGTTCAGAAAGTGAGCTGTGCCTAGTTTTTCTAAACCTCTTCCCAGCAAAGGGAAACTGACACTTGAATTTTCGGCACCTTTGTTCTCTTCACAAGGGAGATGAGGAGGAGCCCGATTTTAAGGGTTTGTTTTTCTGAGTCCATCTCAGTCAGTCTGGGTCTTGGGTGAGCATAACCTAATGAACACTTAAGCTACTCTGACAACAGAGAATTGAGATATGTTCATGTCAATGAGAAAATCCCAATACAGGCCAGGAGCCCTGCTTTTTACAGACGAGTTCATAAACTGACACAAGGCTCGTCTGCCTTCAAGAATGCAGTGTTTGATCGTTACTACTCCCCTTTCCAGGTGAGAAATTGGAGCAATCTCAAGAAACGGGAAAGTAGGCGTCTGGTTTAAGCCAGTATAGTAGCTAAGTGAAACATTTTTACCTTAAAGGGAGCCCCCTGAATTTGCACTAAATGCCTTACTTGCTGAGTTTGGAGTCTCCCTTACCTTGAAGTGTCTCCAGACATTGATTTCGCCTAGTTGAGAGGACTCCCTGGGGGGGTCAGATGCCTGACTACTTGCTGACAAGCCTGTAGTCTGAGCCCACCCAGCAGCACCTTAGAAGACCGCCCTGGCAATCTGCTATGGAGAAGGCCAGCTTTCTGAGTCCTGTGAAGCTGTTCTACTCCACACACGGGCTGCCATGGCGTGGATCAACACAAGGGCGTGCTGAGTGTAGTGTCTAGTCATTTTGTAGGAGGTTTTAGGGCGCGGTAAAAGGGTATGGAAGACAGAAAAGTGGTCTTTACTGGCAGCTGTTTCCTCTTCACAACTTGACTCTTTCCGCAGTTGAAGGGTTAGTATTATTTGTGGTCTCCGATCTATTTGTGACATTTCCCAGCTCCATTAGAACACCAGTCACTTAAACCGTGGCCCACACGGGGAAGCTCCGAGGGGTTCCTTTCACTCCACTCATAACAGCCATGCCAGGACCCCGGTTCCAGAGGCGTGGAGAGTCTGCCAGCAAGAACTGGCCGGGATACACAGGGAGGTCTTGGGCCTGTGGAAACAGTGGGGTTTTTACTCTGCAATGGTGTCCATTCTAGAGGAGAAATTATAATGTGATGTTCTCACTTAAGAAGGAAAGTCGGCTGTTGCTTGAAAAGACAGCATTTTGTATTAGTTTTGCTAATACCTTTTGGAAGCAGGAGTGGCATCCTCTTCCTAAATAACATGCCTCGGGAAACTGAACAGCTTCAGGCCTTTTGTTCATAGGGTTGCTGAATTGTGCTCCACTCGACAGCAATCAACAAAGGAAAAAAATCAAACAAAAATACAAAAACCCTACACAATTCCTGTGAATTAATTTATAAGAAGCATTTTATTGAAGTCTGTGCATCTTCTAAATCAAAATCTTACTTACCAAGCAGGCTCTTAACACTGGTAATTAGATCAAGCCATATGGCAAGTGCTTAACACATTTACAATGTTTAATTTCAACCATGAACTGTCATTTTTAAGACACCCGTTTTTTTCCAAACTTAGTTCTAGGAATGGCCTTCTCTGAATTGTACAGTCACATCATTCAGTAGCCTGTGAAGGGCAGAACAAAATGTTCATTATTTTCCTAACAAGTTCAAATGGCTTTGTACACTTGGCCAACAAGCGGATTTATAAAGATTTTGTGTATACTTGTACTTTTGTGTTGGTATCATTCAGTTCAGTTATACAGTCTGCTCTTTGGTTAAATCAGTCTCAGAAGATTGGAACATGTTGGCTCTGACTGCTTGGTACGATGGGGGCATTTTTACGAGCTAGACCCAGCGGTTTGCTTCAGTTACCCACTCACAGGGACTTCCCAACCCTGTAGAGATCACCCATCTTGCTCCCTTCGGGCAGCTGGTGAGTTTTTAGTTGGCATCCAGTACACACTACACAGTTGGGAGCTCTTCTTAACCACCATTTATCAGAATTATTTTGCTCATAAAGGCAAGCAGCACTTCCTCTTCACTTTCCCATTTCCTGACCATGTGCTGGATTAAAATGGCCAACCACCCGTCTATTTCAGCTTGCTCTGGGTAAGGAATTGCGCTGCCAGCACAAAGGCGTGTGGTTTGAATCACCCTCAGTTCGCAGTCAACGCCCGTGTGGCTCACTGTCTCTGAAAACCCCCTGGAGGGTGAGCTGTAAGATCTACCTCGGATAACGACCTTTATGCATTTCATTCCACTTTTTCTTTTTCCTAGACTTACAGGTAGGACGTTGCGGGCTAAGATTCTTAATGGATGTTTGTGGTTCTTCCTTACACTGAAGGTCCTGGAGGTTGTATTTCATCCGCACCATTAAGGTCGACTCCTCTTTGAAGGAGCAGTTCTCCAACTGCATTTTGATGGTCTTGCGACCCGAGGGCTCATGTGTCCGCATTACCCTGCTGCTGTCCTAAGTTCTTACTTGCGCATGTTTTCAGAAGCTCACCAGGTCCTTGTGTCCAGTCTAAGTCTGGAAGTGCCACAGAGACCTGTGTATCACCAGTAACCCTAACAGATTTTGAAATTATGGTGGAACCTGTATTTCCAGGCAGTACAAGAAACTGACAGACAAGTGGTGGATTAGACAGTATAGACATACCAATGGGAACAATATGGGACTTCACATCTATTAAAAACGAAAGCAAAATAAAAACTTGAGAGTATAAAAAGTATTACATTCTAACAAAAAGGTTAAACCCACTAACTGCTGCTCAATCAGCACCAACTCCTAGCTATCTTCCATGGTGTTTCCATGGCCATAAATCATGAGAGGACATTTCCTGTCCTTCACCTGTGGAAATGCTGGTAGATTTGAACCCCACGGCCTTTGGGTTAGAGGCTCAACTCCCTACGGATCAAGCCACGAACACTTTAGAAAGCCTGGCAGTTTCTTAGAAAGTAAAACTCTTACTTTATGATAAAGGAATTCCAGTCATAGTTATTTACCCAAGAGAAACAAAAATACAGACCCAAAGAAAAACTTGTATACAAATATTCGTAGCAGCTTTATTCATATTAGCGCCAAACAGAATTGTCCATCAGTTGGTGAACGAATACAAACTGTGGTATATCCCACACGATATACTCAGGCATTGTAAAAAAAAATTTAAAAAAAGACTGACTACTGACACATGCTACACCAGAACATTGTCAAAGCACTGTCATGGGACAGACAAAAGACTATCTTGAATCCATTTACTTGACATTCTAAAAGAGGCAAAACTATAGTAACAAAGATTCAGGGCTGGTGGTGCCGACTGTTCAGAGGAATCTAACACATTGTGGATGGTCACCTGCATCAAGATAGCAAAGGTGGTGAGGACGTGATTCTGTAGCTGACAAACTTACTGAAACGAATTCGCGTGTTAGTTTCATTTTATATTAAATACCTTAGAGCTTTTTTTTTTTACAAAAAAAAAAAATCTAAAAAGAACTAAGGGAAAAGACCAAAATGTCAAAGTGACAATATGATTATGTATTAAATTTCTAACTATTCAACAATGGAGATGTGTTTTTTTAAATCTGGGATAAAAAAACGAGTTTAAAACATCAGCATATTACAAATGCATGATTAAACTACATGTTCACAATTACTTCCAAATAAATGCATACAATCTCAGAAGACTGGAAGGGAAATTACCACTACGCTTTTCAGTAACTTCTCATTTTCAGGATGGATTCTGTTTACAGATTAAGAGTTATAATAGAAAGGAACTGGTGTGGATCAAATTAATGAATTAGGAAGGCTTTACGTGAAAGCATTTTACAAAAATGGTTTTGAAAGATTATACTGTGATTTATGTTTTTTCCCCCCATAAGAATGTTTTTCACGCCTTCCACAACCCCTAGAATTATCCTGTTCATGAGCTCTCGGAGTGCAGAGGCACTGAAGAGTAATTCTTAGACTTGAAATGCGTTTTCTACTTTCTACTGCCATATTTTGTAAACAAAGAAACACATTATCTTCAATTCAGATAACCAACTGCTTAACTGCTACTGAGAAAAAATTAAGGGTGACAGTAACTGCTTTAAACTCTAAATACTTCATGCACTGAGTAATTCTTCAGTTCTTTGAGAGCATCTTTCTCACTTATATGGAAATTATAATTAAGTTTTTAAGCATGGAATCAAGTTAAGTAATTTTTAAAAAAAAATCCTTAAATTCTTGATCAACTTGCAATTTTCATTACTGAGTCGAAACTGATTGAGAGTAGACCCCCCGGGAGGTTTCTGGAGGCTGTAATTGCACTGGAGGTCCCACAGCCTTCTCCCACAGACCAGCTGGGAGTCCAACCTCCACAGAGGCACCTGGCAGAGCAAGTACCTTGGGACCACACCAAATTTTCTGTATTTGATGGTGAAATAAAATCAAAGGAAAGAGGACAAAAAGAAGCCCTCACATTAATCTGATCATCCTGACTTTAGGGGCACATTAATATGTTATGTGGCTAGGACTCAGAAACGGGAATTCAGAGAGTAAAAGATGACTTTTCCACCGAGTCTGGACCTGGAACACACAAGAACCTGGTGGGCAGTGAAGGCTGCATCGTGTTCAGTACTGGGAGCTAAAACTGAGTCAGGGCTTAACAAGTCACCACAGCATGAGCAATAGACTGAGGCATCAGATGGTACATTGCCTGTCATTTCTCTGGATTACTAAGAGGCATAAAAAAATGTGAGTAGGTTTTGGCAAGATCCTCCTCCAGTGTTTGATTTGGTGAGGGGAGGGCAAGATGTCCAGTATTCTACCTTTTACCTTTTGTCAGGCATTGGGAGTTCAAGTTACTAGATCACAAAAGAAATAGCCAAAAGAAAGTTTCTGTGGAAACACTTTGTCAAGTTACATATAAAATATCCTATTAAAGGGGGTTTAAAACACCAAAGCATTTACTATACCACAGTTAGTCCAGGTATAGGGCGGTCTCAGAGTTGGTAAATTCAGGAGCTTTCCACCTCAGAAGAACAGTCTACGTTCCTGTGATCCAAGTGTCGGATCAGATTCTGGACGATGTCCAGAGCAGGAGTCCAGGCATCCTCTGTCTTTACTGCTGCTGTTACAAAGCGTCGAGGACAGTTTCACGGCTGATGCTCCTGCACAGGAGGAGACTGCCTGGTCTCTACGAGGTGAGTCGGTATTTCTCTGAAGCCGCCCGTCCAGATTTCTCCTCAGATACCACAGGTTGGGACAGATTAGCCTCCACAAGCCTCCACACCCAGGACTGGATTTGGAACAGTCTTGATTCACCCTGGGGGTAAAGGGTCTACCATTCTTAGGGGCAAGGATGCACTGGGCTGAGCAAGGAGGCCGAGGAGGAGGGACAGACAACACCATCAATACCTGCCACATGGTGCCATGCAGGGCATGTCCGACCAGAGTCCACTGGCAGAGGGGATGCAATAGTATCGGAGCGTTGAGAAAGGTAGTAAGATCAACTGTTGCAGGAAAACTGTGTCATGGCAAGAACTGTTCTACATGCTATGAATGTGTCATCACAGCTACTATCGCTATTTTCCAAGTAAGAAAAAAGGAGCAGCAGGTAAGGAAACTGCCCAAGACATGTAGCAGTAACAGAGCTGTGAGTGGTGGTCAGGCTCCCGCCCTGCGCTCCCACATGCTCCATCCATCTCATGCTGCACGGAGCAAAGTCCGAGGGGGAGGGGAGGGTCTAGTGTAGTAACTGAAAACCGTCATGGAGAAACCAAACCCAAGAAGCTGGCTGACAGTTACACTACATTTTATTAAATATGGCCTTTATTACAAGCAGATAGTTTACTGCTGATAAGGGTTTCATTTTTAAGAAATGTGTGTTTAAATTTTTATTTGAACTGCTTCTAAGTATCCTATTTTTACTGGTTCTATAATATAGGTGTGTGGTCATAAAGATTGATACTTCTTAAGAATGAAGAAATTTCTCAAGTTGCACATTATACATTATAACCTAAGAGTACTGTCAAAATATGGACATGACCACAACGGATATATGGGACTACACAGAATCTGAAATAACCGCTACTTCTAGTAACATTGTCAAGTCATGCACAGTAAGTCTTGAGTACTTACGGAGGGTTTCTACCTTATACACAAGAATTAGTCACGTCCCAGGGGTCAGCATTTAAATAAAAAATTAGGAGAGAAAATAGCTTTCAGAGGCGTCAGCTGTAATCCTGGAAGCGTGACGGAAGGTTCCTGGGCGCTTCCTTTTCCTGAGTTTTGATCAAGTCTAAAATAGCAGAGAGCACTGCACAGTCTCTGGATTTAGTGTCGTTCCAGTCTACGGGATGAGGAGTCTCGATCTTCTCTTGCAGAAGAACATCTAGTTCCTTCCTTAATTCCTAAGGTTAGAAAAATTGCAATTTTCAAAATAAACAGATGTACTAGTAAACAATGGGATCAATAATAGTAATGTAGAGGTGCACAGATTATCAAAAGCTAGCGAGGAAGCCAGAAATACTTAGTAAGCAACAACCTACAATGTGGTGGCTATTAAGTGTGGTTAGGTTTAAAAAAGGTTACTCTCAACCAAATCTGGAAAACCTGTCAGTTCCTCAATATGATATGTTCTGCTGATATAGCAAAGAATGTAAACTCAACACCCATAACAAGCCACATGATCAACACACATCAAAGTAAATGTGCATATGTATCATATAAAGTATATATAACATGTATATGTAAAGTCAATCACCTTAACGAGATGGGCAATTCTGGCTGGAGACTGAAAGATAATCCATTCATCTACAGCAATAGTTTCTTGATCATTATCCTTCTGGATGGAAATATCACCTCCAAAGAATAAGAGACAGTATGGGGAAACCTCTGTACAATCATATAAGTAGATCTGCAAGGTGAATGAAAGAGCTTTAAAACACTTCAGACACTGAGAAGATTACTACCAAGTAATTCCTATCACCACTTGTATCAATAGGAGTTTCCTTCAAAACAGGGATTATTTTGCTAATGTAATAATAAAACGTCACTAAGTTAATTCCAACTCATGAAACACTACGGAGGACAGAGTATAACAAAGCAGTTTCCAAAGCCATACATCTTTCCAGACTCTTCCCAGGGCCTGACTTTTCAGTTCACAGCTTAGCATCACCAACACTCTTTCATTAATGCAAAAATTCACTGATAAAATAATGGAAATCAATACAGAAGACAATCCATGTTAAATAAGTCATCTTTATTTCAGAAAATACAGAGACTTCTAGGTCTTTAAAACTATAGCACTGTTCTTTAAACAATGTATTTTCTGAATGGCAAAATGGAGATTAATCATGTAGCTGAAATTTATTTTTTATCTATTTTTACGTTCACTATGGAAAAAACGTCAAATTTTTATGTCAGCATTCAGTGAGGTATTCAGGTGTGCTAACAATAATTCATCGTATAGTGTAAAACTTTTGTAAACTATGAAAGCCTTTTATTTCTTGAGAGTAGGCTCTGAAACAAAATTCTGCAAATGAAACAGCCTTATTAAAATGCACACATCTATCCTGAAACTGAAATGCATAAAAGTATAGAAAGTGTAACAAAGTACAAACTGTTCACAATGGTGAAAACAATTATAAACTGTGACAAGAATGGTACTGAGATGCATGTTAGTGGAGTGCTCACTTACACTACTTGTTCTCATCTTCAGGTGGTAGATAAGCCACTTGTAGTGGAAGTCTGTCTGTTCCACGTTCACAGATTTAGGATGAATGGCAACTAATCCATCAGATTTTGTGTACACTTTCACCCTTCAAGAAATTAAAAGAGTTAGGTATTATTGGTGTGACAAGAGTCCAGAAGAAGAGCTGCACAGTAAATCGGTCTTGGGGGGAACTGTGTAACAATGAAAGCAATTTTTTTCCTAAAGGAAAAACAAACTGGGGAGGAGGGGTGCAGGGAGGAACATATGCAACAATGAATGAATGGAAATCCAAGTTCTCTATAAACTTAAACTAAAATCTCGATTAAAATAAAAAAAATTAGAGTTAAAACATCTTTTGCATGATCCTTTTTAAAATAAAAAAACAAGAAACCAAAAAATATGTAAGACTTACTAAAAATAGAATTGAACCCCAGCTCTTTAAGTCTCTGAGGGAAGATGAAACAACCCACTACTGTCGCGGTGACTGACTTCGCAGCACCCTCACAGGACAGAGCAGAAATGCCCCTCAGGGTCCCAAGCTGCCCGTCTTCCCTCCGCGGAGGTTTGCGAGTTTCAACACCCGCTATCAGTCAGCACCCGAGTGCTTTAAGGAGAGCACACCAGGGTTCCTGCACAGATTACACAGATAACCACACACAGGCTGGCGCCCAAAAAGAACAAACCAACCAGCCTTCAGAGCTGTGGAGTCAAACAACTCATAGCTAAACCGACAGCCTTTCAGAGGCTACAAATGACGAAGGAGGGACTGCCCACCTTTCTCCTGAAGAACCCAAACGCCAGCGACGTGCTGCCTCTGGGTAGCAGTACAGTAACGCCCTCCATACTATGTCGTCAAGGCTAACAGACTGGAAAGTACCAGACCCTAACACAGCTCTGTAATGCAGATACCGAAATGTACTCAGAACAAGGGAAGCATTTCAGTGTTCTACTATTGCATCATAACCCATAACCCCCAAAATAGGCCTTAAATGGAAGAAAAACTTTCTGAAATAAATTTTAAAAGCTTCACAAGTTATGTAGTCAGATGGATATAAAGTATTGGAAGATTTTTAAAAAACTGAGAAAAAAATTCTGATGGGATAAAAATACTGAAGATTTTGTTAAAAAATTACACTGATTTTAAAGAATTTTAAAATATGTTTCAAAAGTTATCACACTTAGATCCTGTCATTTCAAAATAGGAATACACTGGAAGAGCTCTACCTTGAACCGCTTTAAATGACTCTCAGTTCCTAGAGCTTTGTGATACTGACAGACCTTGTACCCCATCTATAGACATTTCATTTACCATGCAAAGGCATGTGACTGCGTGGATCACAACAAACTGGGGCTAATTCTAAGAATGGGAATCCCAGAACACTTGATTGTGCACCAGGAGGCAGTCCTCAGAACAGAGCAGGGAAACACTGCACGGTTCAAAATTGGGAAGACTGTACACAAGGGATGTGTCCTATCTCCATACCTTTTCAACCTATATGCAGAACAGATTATCCAGGAATGAGGAGAAATGTGGCATAAGAAATGGAGGCAGACTCATCAACAATCTGTGTTATGCAGATGACACAACCCTGTTAGTTCAAACTGAGGAGAACCTGAAGCACTTGCTGCAGAAGGTCAAGGACTGCAGTCTTCAATATAGATTGAGGCTCAATAAATATCAAGAAGACAAAGATTTTCACCAGTGGGTCAATTGGCAGCATCACGATAGATGTTGAAGAGATTGAGATTGTTCAAGGTTTTGGTTTGCTTGGTTCCACAATCAACACTCTTGGTACCAGCAGCCAGGAAATTAAAAGATGAATTACACTGGGAAAGCCGGCTGTCAGAGACCTTGCCCAAGTACTGAAGAGCAACAATGTCAGTCTGATTCTAGGCCACAGTTTTTGCAATTACTTGCTATGCTTCAGAAAGCTAGACAATGACTAGGGATGACAGGAGAATTAATACCTTTGAGCTATGGTTCTGGAGAAGAGTACTGAATATACTATGACTGTCAGGAGAATATACTATGGACTGTCAGGAGAACAAACAGGTCAGGTTCATCCTGGAGAGGGTGAGACTAGGCTGCTCCTTTGGAGGCAAAGATTCTGAATCTTCATCTGACATACTTTGGACATGTTGCAAGGAGGAACCAGTCCTTGGAGAAGGACATCATGCTTGGGAGGGTGGAGGGACAGCACAGGAGAGGAAGACCCTCAATGAGATGGATTGATTCAGTGACTGGCATAATGGCATTAAGGTGTGTCAGAACCGCTAAGACTGGCACAGGATAGAGCAGGCCTTAGGGCTGCTCTTTTCAGAAGATCTGAAAAGTCACAACATTTTTGCCCAATTATGAAATCACTGTCAAGATTCATTATTCAAAATAAAATATTTTCCTCACCTGACCTGTCAACAGTTTAATCAATGCCACCCTGCTATCCTGTCTGACTATTACGGAATGGGGTGGGAGGTGTTTGCAAATTAATGCATTAAAAGGCCAAACAACAAATAGTTTAGGCTTTCAAATAAACTGACACTAGTCCTCAACTATGCAGGTATACAGTAACAAAGCAGACAAATCCATGTGGGAGCATTCTAATGAAACTACAAAAACAAGCTTCAGGCCTACAGGACACAGTCTGCTGGTCTCTGTCTTGTTTAGGCTAAAGCAAAGCACCAATCCAAAGATAAGTACATTAATCAAAAAATAAAACTCTCACAGGATGAGCGAGAGATTATAAAAATGTATTTTAAAGAATTATCTACGGGGCTCTGGTGGCCTAGTGGCAAGAAGCTGTGCTGCAATCTCTAAAGAATTCTCTAGTAAGTAACAGTGCACTGCAGTTACAGATAGAAAACATTAGCAAGTATTGAAGCCAAGAATACTAAGATCATTTAGTAACATGTGAGATACCCAACGATAAATAAATCAGAAATGAAAATCCAATTAGCGTTAAGAACCTGCACTGCAATCCTGCAGGCATGTGGTATGCTCTGCCGGAGGATGGGCAATCTCACCTCGTGCAACTAACTGCCTCTGAAAACCTGCTGGTGGCTCAGCTATGGGTTGGTTCCAACAATAACAACCTGTCCAGTAAAACTGGGTTTCTAAATCTCAACAATATTGATTTTGAACTGCTGTGTTCTGTTTTGGGGAGGGGCTTTCCTTGCAATAGAGAAGGTTTAGAAGTCACTGGCCCCTGAATGCACCATGTCAGAAGTACAGTCCCCTCAGCTCTGACAACCACCCATGTCTCTAAACTGTCAAATGTCTGTGGGGGCAAAAATCCTCCCTGGTGGGGAATTCACTCTATCGTTAAAATGTCTTATATCTCCTCCTATTTCATTCACGTTTATAATCACAGTTTGACTATGTTACATTAATTTCAAGTATCTGGTCACTACACAGTAACTGGAAGGAAGCTCTGGGGCATAACCTTTGGGGAGTTGTACCGCTAACCCCAATGCAGCACCTCTGTCTCTTCAAATCCACTTAGGAACCCACAGCAGAAACATGGGACAGCTCCTCGCCTGTGACTGTCACTGTAAGCAAACCAGTAAGAAAAGAAAAACAAACCCAAACCCCACTGGTAGCTGGGTCAATTCTGGCTTGCTCAGTAAGTTTAAACAGCAATAAGTGAGCTTAAATAATAACAGTACATCAAAACAGAAATGTCATCTGATAAGTGTGGTATTACAAAAACCATGTCTCAAATAAAAATAAATAGAACTTTCAGAAATTTGGAATCACTTAGGATATTATTTCTTAAAACATTCACTTATTACTCCACTGGGCCATTATTTAATGGCTCTTGATAATTCTAAACCACTGTGCTTTCTAAACAGGTACTATAGATTCACAAACCACTAGCTTCTGGTTAACTGCCAGGTTCTTGGGATCCCTAGCAGTATGAGTTCATTTACTAAACAAAAAGTCAAGTCACTGTTTCTAATTACCGCTGAAGTTATCAGTACATACATTTAACTATTTTTCCCCTCAAGAAATGAAGTGATTAAATTTTCCCCTAAAGGGCAGTTTTTAAATTACTTAGTTTACAACTAGAAGAAAATCAAGCCAAACCAAAACCTAGTGATTTCTACTCAGACCCTGATTTTTATAACCAATTTCCATTTATAAAATGCACTGTGGCTGTCCTATTTTACTAACACTCTCTGTGAGTAATGAGTGACAGGGGAGGTGGACTCCAAGGACAGACTGTCAGGGAAGTGGTGTGTGTAAAACAGTCTGCTTCCTTCTAAATGATCACAGGTCGAAGGAAGAATATGACCCATAAGCTAATGACAAATGGACACAAGAAAGTCCTGTTAACCACAGGATTTCAAACGTTTCAAGGAAATTTTGCAAATAAGAACAATCTTCAATGCTTACATTTTTCTTTTTTTACCCAAATTTGGTCGGATTTTAGCAACTTTAGGGTATAAACCAGCACAGATAACAGCTTTAATTATCTTCTCATTATCTATAGGAGTGGAAAGATAGAAAAAGTAAAATACTAGTATAATGGACAACAGGAGCAAATTATTTACACTATATTTTCTGCTTTACCTGAGTTTATATTAGATTTTGGATCTTTAGGACTTTTACTGCTTACAAATCCAGCTCCAAGAAGATGCTCAGCAAACTGCCCTTTCATGTTATGCAGCATCTAGAGAGCAACGGTAACAAAGACAACTCGAACATCTCTGGCAGAGACAGAAGGCATACGCTAAAATACGCAGCTGCACGCTTCCCAGAATCAGGGCTATCCTTAAGCAAAAACGAGATGTATTAGGGCCGCAGTAAGCAAACTACAGCCTGGAGGTCGCTGCCTCTTAGCGTAAAAAGTTTTCGCAGAGCACAACCCATTCCATGACACACACGGTTGTTCTTGTACTCCATGAATGGTGGTTCTTACACTCTATACATGGTTGTTCTTGCACTACATACACAGTTGTTCTTCCACTACACACATGGTTATTTTACTCTCTATACATGGTTGTTCTTATACTCTATACACGGTCCACGCATGGCTGTTCTTACATTACACACATAGCTGTTCTTAAACTCCATGCATGGCTGTTCTTACACTACATACATGGCTGCTCTTGCACTACATACATGGTTTTTCTGGCACTACACTGGTAGGACTGAGTGGTTCCAACAGAGATGCTATACCCTACAAAAGTCCAAAATACTTATCTCGCCTGTTTTTAAATAAGAAAAGCAAGTCTCTTTTAGGACATAACCAATGAATGACATTCAAATACTACTCCATTCCACAAAACAAATTATTAAAACAAAATAATGCCTAAAATCAACCTCCCTATCCATCGTTCAAATATACCCACATATTTAAAACTTTTTAAACCCAAGAACTATTATTAATTAATTTATTATTATTAATTTGCACTTAATCTTAAGTCCATTTATTTTTAATTTTCCTTATTTTAAAAGAAAACCACTATTCAGATAAAAATTATATAGAGTTCAATAAAGTAAACATAGAAAAGTACAAAGACTAAAGAAAATTTCCTCAATATTCTCAGAAACAGCCATTTAGTAAACAAGACCGCAGGTATGTTGTACTTATACAACTGCATCCATATGACATTGTTTCCATATATGGAGAGAGAGTTAACCTATACACTTAATCAGCTCTACTTACATAATTCCTAATACAATGTAAAAGGTATGTAAATTGTACTTTATGCTCCCCTTAAATTTAGAGGACTGCTGTGGCCACTTAATTGCTTCTTCCGGAATACTTCCAATCTGTGATTGGATGAATCCATGGATACAGAGGACCTTCTAGATACTAACAGACAACTATGATTAACTATCAGTTCAAAAACAGTCAGACTGGATTGACCAGTGCTTACGTACTAACTTGACATAAACAATTTTCCATTTTCAGCACATCAATGATCCTGCTTCGTAGGTATGGCTGGTCTCTCTCTCCTCCAACCCTAGAGCTCCTTCCCACAGGATCAAAGCTGCTCTTGAAATCTACTATCCCTGACAGGAATGGCGTATCTAAAATCAAGGTCAGCACAGGGTTACTTGTGCTTTCTTAAGTGCAGTGGATGATTTCACCCAGATTAGTAGGTAAATGCAAGTTAAGTATCTTGCTTATTGGATATTTTGCCCTTAATCACAGCACAAAAGTTGTTTTTATAAATGTATTAAAGCTAATAGTAGTTTGAAGAAGAAAATAAAACAGAAATTAGAGAGCAGATAAACTATATTAATTGAAAGTTTTTTTAAAGGATTTTGCAAACTTAAGACTATTTAACATTATAAAAGGATATATATTATGAATATAGCTAACCTTGTACAGCCACTCCTGGTTTTTTATTACCATTATTTTTACATTTTCTGAGATTATTACCTTTACATTCTTATTTATAGCTAGGCTTTCCAACCCTGTTTTGTATAAAATACACATCTGAGTAGTAGCAATGCAGTTAATTTAGCACTATTTCTGAATACTCCACGATTCATTTCTTAATAGGCAACATATTATTAAGAACAGCTCACAAACAGTATTTTGTCAAGTGCTTTCTTGACTCCGTCTTGACTTGTCTACCTACTTGAATTAGTATCTTGACTGGGCAGAATATTCTCAAAATGACACATGGATTTGGTAATCTTCTCTCTTATTCTGGCTCATTTCATTTTCTATTGCAGAAAAATCCTTGTATCTCTGAATACATAATCAATTACACTTGAATTTTTATGCAGTCAACATTATCTTCATAATGGATCACCTAATCTTCCTTTGCGCAAATTTTTCACTTAATGCTTTAATCTTTTAAAGCTGTATTCATCAACTATGATCACTTCAAACCTTTCTTGTGGCAGTGTTTATTTTCAAAGGGTGTCCATTTTGTTCCTTCTGGTTTTATTTACTCAGCAGCCTTTTATTTCTTCCACTGGTTTATTTTAGCTGTGTTTCACTGAATTCCTATTGTTAACTTGTTCATATTGCTGAAGCAGCTGCCTTCCTTTGTGGAGCTGTGCTATTTTCCACTTTTTTTATCTTCCGTTTTACCTTCTAAATCTGCATAGGTGTCAAGTCTCTTTTTTTGCTCATGAATGGAGAGTACAGATAAAGACATAGGAGAATCATTCTTTTGCTTCTTTTTACATGGAGATTTGTCAAATGCCCAGTTCACACCAGAGTTTGGATGTATGTTTTTTAAGAGAGTGTGAAGACATTGCTAACCTCACTGGCTGCAAGGTTGATGTGGTCATTGTCTAGAGAGCAGGAAATGGAACATGGGAGCAAAGGGCAATGGGCATCTCTGTGAAAGGGCCAGAGGGAGGGAGACTAACAGAGACGCTCACCACCTAGAGCAGACAGCAGACAGAGCCTGTACCCCAGCCCTGTGCTGCCTCTGGAGCCACAGGAGCAGCAAGAGGTCCACGTATTCATCGTGGACTCACAGGCTTGACTCAGAACTCCAAGGTTTATTAGGAAAATGGGTTAGAAAGTTGGAGAGGCAAAGAATATAAGGCAAGTTCAGACTTAATCCAACAATCCCAAGCCATATTAACAAGGCACAATTTTTCAATTAGTAACAGCACGGGTTCGGTTCAGCAGCACAAATTCAAGAAGTCTCTGGACTCCTCAATCATGCAGCAACTTTATCTCACAGCAGTTATAAATCGCTTTTCCTTCAATCTTCCGGCCTTTATTCCAGGATTCCTCTGGTTATACTCTGTCACAGTCTCTTCACCACTATGACCAGGGTCTCACGCCAATCTCTCTCAAGATCTGCTGCTCAGTATGGGAAGCATTTTCTCTCTTATCCTAGTCCCACCGCTGTTGATGACTTACAAGACCTGCGGTTAAGGGAGCTGGAGACCAGAGAGGTCTTAAAACTTTTAAGCCAATACCACACTCACTTTCTACCATTTCAGGTATTCCTTTCTTGAAATGTTTTCATTACATTAAATCACAAGTTAAAGATACATTCTCTGATATTTTAAAATAATATTAAAGTATGAGGCAGACACAGTAAATGAGTTTAACTGAACTTTCTCCTGTATATTCTGGAATCTTTTTTCAGTCATAAATTTTTAAACATTACTATACTAAGTTATATATTCTTCCTTGTTTTGATGCAACAGATTTAATAAATATTTTCTATTATTTTGTATAATTACGCAACCTTGGAAAATATGCTTAAATAATTAACTTTTGTTACCCAACTATTAAACAAAATAAACACATGCATTCATTAGTCTAGTATACATGTGAGTAACTAAGAAGCTAGCATCATTACCTGAAGCGTGTTTGAAGACAGAAAATACTCCCAGCAATAGTCTTTTTCGTATCTGAAACCACGTCGCCTAGCTTCTTCCCAGCCCTATCAAAGAAATGAAATCCATTTATTATCAATTTTCAAAGCAACGATGGGTTATTAGTTTGGTTTTAAAAAAGCATTTAACTCTATTTCCTTTTTTTTTTTTTAAAAAAAACAAAAAAAAACAAACAAACACAAAACAAACAAAACGCAACAACCAACCACCAAAGCTACAACTTTAAAAAGATCTACAAATTAAAGCAGCATAAACTCCTTAAAATTCTAGTTTTATGTTTAAAAGAGATATATAACTAGGTATTTCTGTCATCACAGGAGACTAGAGCGAGGGCTACATGGTGGAGGGGACCTGGGGGAGGGTTTGTAAAACAATGAAAGAATCTTTTCTTTTACTTTTCCATAATTTTTGAACCAAGGAACTAAAAACTGTTAGTCAAATTTGTGTCTTCTAGGTTGCAACACCCCCATGATACATCTTCAAGGATATGAATATGTACGGCCAAGCACAATCAATAAGAGTGCATCTAAATTCCAAAATCAATCTCCATAATAGTCTATGTGTTTCCTACTGCCAAAAGGGCCCTTTAGAGTAGTGAGAGAAGATCTTCACCCTGAAACCCACAGCGTCCCTTTTCAGCAGGAAGTAGCTAAGAGAATACGCCATCCCCTTTTCCTTATGACTCAGGGTGAAGTCTCTCTCAGGGAGGAGTGATAGGGAATGGCAAAGGACACACTGACAAAGAAGATTAATCAGAACTGGCTTTGACAAGCACTGTGGCATTTGGACAAGAATAAACTGGGAGGAGGGTAGAGAGAATAGTGCAACAATGAATGAATGGAAACCCAAAATCTCTGTAAATGTTTATGAAAATTAATAAAATATAATTATAGAAAAAAAAATTCTAGTTTTAAAGCAGTAACTACCATAAAATATTCAAGTGATTTTTAAATGTGAGTTATCTGGATATTTTACACAAAGTATTTCAATAAGGTACATATGTAGTGATTTAAAAAACACAACAACATGCTTGTGGAACAAATTTCAATGTCAAAAATTTGTTTTTATTATTTTGTGTGTGTGTACCGTCAAATCAGATCTGACTGGTACAGGAGGAGATATTTCCTTCTCCAGCAGAGCATCTGGTGGATTCGAACCGAGTACTTCTAGGATTGCAGTGCACCTTCTTGCCACTAGGCCACCAGAGCTCACCACACCATTAGATATTTTTGATTCTTTTTTTGTTAGGTTGGGCAAAAAGGCTGGAAAAATATGTTTATGGAGCTAAAGGAAAAAGATACACATAAAACTTTACCTTTTTATAATAAAACAATCTAGACCTACAGTAAAAAGATATTTTATCTATAAACCAAACTATACTTAAATATTGCAAAGATGAGTGGCAAATGTTTACTATCAGATAAGCCTGGTTTGGAGATGTGTCCTCAAAATCTCCCCTAATCTTAGCAACATATCTAATTATGATGTTCATTATCAAAATATTTATTTTATGTGACTACAGGTGTAGTTTATTCATTAAAGTAGTAGCATTCCAGTAAGATGTGAACTGAACAGTTAAAAAAAATTTTAAAAGAAACTGTTTAATCTTCACCTTAGAACACATCACAAAGGTATTGTGTATATTACCCTAAATGCTCCCTGAATTCTTTACAAAGGCTCTGAAAAGTCTTTTACCATATCCTTCTTTTAAAGAGTCTCAGTAAGCAATAAAAATACATGGTAACTGCCATTTCCAATACAGGGTTTTTTAAAAACACTGAATTTCTTGCTTGTTCACTTAAATAAATCACCAAAAATAAAAACATTTTTACCTCAAATGCATTCACAACTGTCAGATGGTCACTTCTAGAATCCTTTGCCAATTCCTTTCTTCTTGCATCTGCAATTTTTTCTTTTCCCTTAAAGTAACAAGGAAAGACAATTTATATTGCTCTGAGTCTATGGAATGAAGAACAGTATCTTAGTAAATTGCTAATAAAACTATACGGAACAATTATTCTCTCTATGTGAAAATATTCAGGCTTTTCTTTTTCTTACCAATGGAATGACAAAGGGATCTTTGAAGCTGAGACTAGCAGCAATAGTGAGAACAGGGTCTAAACAACAAAACAGAGCACCAAATAGAATCATTTTTCCAATGTGTGGCTCGACTGGCAACCGTGCTAAGTGGACTCCAAGAGGGGTCAATTCTTCCTGTTTATCCAGCGCATTCTGTAAAACAGGGAAATACGCCTGTTAAAGCATTACAGTTAAAGTAAAAGCAAACAACCCCATCTGACAGGTCACTCCTCATTTTCTCAAGTTCAAAAGTCTTAACACTTGTCCAGTTTCAGTTTTTTACATCAAAACATGTTCTAAAGTAAATAAAATATTGGAAATTTAAACAAATCACTAACTTGGTTTTATCATAAATATATATAAAAAATACTATGCAGCACGCAGGAGCAATAACTTTATAAATGATTACCTAACTTGGGAGGGACTGGAGAGTATTACGCTGAGTGAACTAACTCAGTCCCACAAGAATAAATATTGTATAAGATTGTTATCACAGAATGAGTATAAGGATCCAGGAGGGGTGGGAAAGGCTGGAAGCAGAGGGATGTGGATGTGCAGGGGGAGGAGGGGATTAATCATTGGGTTGTACAATTTGATGGGTGGGGGGGTGAGGGAAATTGAAAGAATTTGTTCAAATTTGTATTAGAATTTTGTATATAAAGTAGTAGAGAAAATAAAATATTATTTAAAAAAATAAATAAATAGTCTGCCCAAAGAGAAAATCACTCAATAAAATTATGGGGGAAAAAACATACACACATACACAAAAAACCGGCAAGCTCCACAGAAGAAGAAACACCCTGCTAAGAGACAAGAGGTGAGAGCTGAGCTGAGGTATCTTTCTTATCAGAGAGCTTCTCAGAGACATTTGTAGTAGCTGCGGGGGGCAAAGAAGGTAAAAAAAGGCCATGGACGATCCAAAGGAGAGATAGAGAGAGGGGCTGGTGAAGAGATGCTCTCTGGGGCTCAGAGGGCAGGGCTTACACACTTGACACAACAATAAAGCAAAAGTACACAGGATCACAAGACTCTACTTCAAATCTTCTCTTTCTCTGAAATGTGACTAACCTGATACTACATTGCTAATACCTATGGCAATGTATTTCTCCGCAGGATATCATGTTTATTCCAAACTATCATTATTCCATGTTTCAAATAATATAGCTACAAAAGTTATTTAAACATAAACTTCCAGTATGAATTAAAGTAACTAGGCACAACAGAAGACAAGATACAAGGAAAAATGACAATTAGAAACAGATCTGTAATAGGCCCAATCTTACAAAAATTCCCAAAGATTAAAAAAAAAAAAACCAACTCAAGATTACAACTTGTATATGGAATACAGCATAATCTTAATACCAAAAATAAAGACATCTGAAGAAAAGTAAAATAATAAAATTTTTAAAAATTTCATAAAGAGTAATTAAAGAGGAAAAGTTATATATCAATATTGAATAAAATCGATTTCAAGAACAAATAAGAGATGAACATAACTCTTGATAAAAAAGGTCAATGTATCAAAAATTATAACTGTAAACCACAGAGATCTTTAATATCACAATCCCAAAATATACTAAGCAAACAAGTATAGAATTAAATATACAAAATACAATTAAATAATAGAGAATTCAATATATTATTCTTAATAATGGTCAGAACATCAAAAAGGAACCAAATGATTCAAGCATCAAAGTATTGAAAAGGAACCAAATCAAACAAGCAACACCATAAACAATGAGGACATAGAGATATTTAAAAAGCACTATATCCACTGAAAGTAGACTCCACAGGCTCTCCTAGTGGATACACATCATTCTTAATGATACGGACTTGATAAACAATTTTTGGTAAATATAAAATTGAAATCATACCAAATTATGGAAATTATAAAAATATGTCTATAGTTACAAAAAGAAAACAACACATGTGCTGATGGGGATGTGGAAAAACAACTGTACACTGCTGGGAGAAATGCAAACTGGAGTACTCACTGTAGGAAACAATTTGGTACTTTCTAAAAAAGTTAAATATAGAAATAGCATGGCCTACCAATTCGAATGTTTCAAAAGAAATGAGCGCAGAGATGTAAACATACTTATACACCAGTGTTCCTTGCAGCACTACTGCAAATAGTTAAAAGGGAGAAAAGAACACAGGTCCATCAACAGATGAACGTTATTGTTATGTGCCATCAAGTCGCCTTCAACTCATAGCAACCTCACGTACAAAACCTCTGAACCCTGCCTTATCTTGAGCAGTCTTACAGACTCCGAAACATCTACCCCCTTTATCGCTTTTACTGTGTCAATCCATCTCCTCTGGGGTGTTCCTCACCTGTGCTGTCCCTCCACCTTTCCAAGCACGATGTCCTTCTCCAAGGACTGGTCCTTCCTGGCCATGTGCCCAATGTATGTGAAATGGAGCTTCAAAATCCTTGCCTCCAAGGAGAAACTTGGTTTCACCCTCTTCAAGACAGACCTGTTTATTCTCTTGGCGGTATGTTCTTCTCCAGCAACACAACTCAAAGACATTGATTCTTTTTCCATCATCCTTAGTCATTGTCTAGCTGCCAGATGCATAGCAAGTAATTGCAAAGGCCATGGCCTGAGTTGGGCACATCTTAGTGTCTAGACTGACATCATTGGTTTTTAGCACTTTGGAGAGGTCCCTGATAGCAAACTTTCCCAGTGCAATTTATCTTTTGATGTTCTGGCTGCTGATACCAAGAGTGTTGATTATGGAGACAAGCAAGCTATAAATGGCCTAGTGGTGAGAATCTTTGTCTTCTTGTCATATTTCAACGAAGAGACGCTTCTCTGAATGTGCCTGCCAAGCTGTGCCAATAAATCTGGAGGACAACTGCCTGGAAGAGATCCATATTCATTCTCATTCTAAAAGAAGGTGATCCAACAGAGTGTGGAAATTATCAAAAAGTTTCACTCATATTGCATGCAAGCAAAATCCTGCTTAAGATTATCCAATAATGACAGAGAGAGTACACTGAAAGAGAACTACCAGAAATACAAGCTGGGTTTAGACGAGGTCATGCCACTACAGACATAATCACCAATGTCAGGTGGATCTTGGCAGAAAGTAGAGAGTACCAGAGGAATGTCTGTTTCATTGCCAATGGAAAGGTATGTGACTGTGTGGATCACAACAAATTGTGGCTAATCTTGAGGAGAATGGGAATCCCAGAACACTTGACTATGTGCATGTGAAATCTATACTCAAACCAGGAAACAATCCTCAGAACAGAGCAAGGAAATACTACATGGTTCAAAATCAGGAAAGGAGTCCATCAGGGATGTGTCCTGTCTCCATACCTTTTCAATTTATATGCAGAACAGATCATTCAGGAGGCTACGCTTTATAAGAAGACATGTGGCATCAGGATTGGAGGAAGACTCATCAATAACCTATGTAACACATGTCACAACCTTGGATACTGAAACTGAGGACTGTAGTCTTTAATACGGACTGAAATTCAACATCAAAGAGCAAAGATTCTCACCACTGGGCCAACTGGCAGCACCACAAGAGATGGCTAACAGTTTCAGCTTGCTCACCTCCATAATCAACACTCTTGGTACCAGCAGCGAGGTGATCAAAAGATAAATTACATTGGGCAAGTCTGATGTCAGAAACCTCTCCAAAGTGCTAAAAACTGATGATGACAGTCTAGAGACTAAGGTGTGCCCAACTCAGGCCATGGCCTTTACAATTACTTGCTATGCATCTGACAGCTAGACAATGACTAGGGATGATGGAAAAAGAATCGATGTCTTTGAGTTGTGTTGCTGGAGAAGAACATACTGCCAAGAGAACAAACAGGTCTGTCTTGGAGAGGGTGAAACCACATTTCTCCTGGGAGGCAAGGATTTTGAAGCTCCATCTCACATAATTTGGGCATGTGGCAGGAGGGACCAGCTCTTGGAGAAGGATCATGCTTGGAAGGGTAGAGGGACAGAGCAGTAGAGGAAGTTCCTGGATGAGATGAACTGGCTCAGTCACTGGGATATTGGGATGTGGAAGTCAGTGGGCCTGACTCAGGATAGGACAGGGTTCAGAGCTATTGTAGGGTCACTATGAAGTCACAGGTGACTTGATGGCATATGACAATAACAATGAGCATAGAATTTTATGTTTATACGCTCTATATTCTAAATAGAAAATAGAACAATAAAATAAAATTTACCAGTTCCATTAGGTGTTTAATGGAGAGCAATACCGCCTCATTTGATGGTGGATCCATTAATCGACTTAGAAAATAAGCAATTCCACCCAGTCTTAAAATCTGAGGGGAAACAAATTAAAAAAAAAAAAAGCATATCTACTTAACAATATAGTCCTGCTTTTGCTGATCATTCAAAACATTAAACCTATACAAAATATACATGCTATTTCATTAGAACGAACAAAAACCAATTTCAATTTCATAAGGGCATATTTTAATTACCAAAGTCTGTAAGTAAGAAAAGCAGCTAGTTAAATTTCAAGTAATGAGTACAAGTTATCATTAAAATAAGAGGGCTAATTAAATTTAAAAGTAAAAGATATTGGAAAATAATATATAGCTTATAATTAAAGATGAAAACAAATAATTACTGTAACATTCACTGAGCACTTACTGGAGGGCCGGGCCCTGTTCTAAGAATTACGGTTATTTTAGTAGCTGCCCAATATAACAGAAGTACCTCCAAATAAAACTTGACACATGATTTTAAAACGTCATAAATACCTAATTCATTTCTTAGAGTGGAATGAAAAGTCCTGAGCACAGTTGTTAAAGCTCTAGGCTGCCAACCAAATGGTCAATGATTTGAACGCACTAGCCACTCTGTAGGAGAAAGTCGCAGCCAGAGATTTACAGAAGCCTTAGAAATGCTACACAGCAATTCTACTCTCCTGCAGCACCTATGAGTCAAATCAACTTGATGACAGCAGGGTTTTTAGTTTTCAGTGAAATAAACTTACAAATACTAGTGCACACACAAAAGAAATCTATAAAAGATATTCACCCCTTTTAGTTTAATTCTCCCACCTAATTTTACCTTTATTTGTAAACACAGCTCTTCCAAAGGAGTTCGGAGAATTTCTGGCAACTGATAGTCATCTAGAAGGCTTGCTCTAAGACCATTGTAGAGATGATAGCAATGACCAGGTTGAACTCTTTAAAAAAGGGGGATGGGGAAGGAAGAGTAGAGAGTTTATCAATGACTTTTAGATTGCAGAGTAAACAGCTGGCAGGGAAATGAGCTTATCTTTATTATAAGATACATAACTAATTATTTGTTCATTTAATCCCGTATTATTTCTCACTTGCTTTGAGAAAAAATCTCTTAATTCTCTAAACCTATGTTCTAGTTTTTAGAAAGACAACAAACTCTCCTCTGCACCCCTAGTATTTTAGGTTTCAACTTGTAGCCCACAGATTCCAGACTTGACGCTCTGTATCAACAACATCCTTCCGCTGTCCTGGTGGCACAACGATTAAGCAGTTAATGGCTACAGAAAGGCTGCCAGTACAAACCCACCAAGAGTTCCACAGACAATATTTAGTGATCTCTTTCTGTCAAGATTACAGTCTTGGAAACTTACTATTACAACTGTACCATGTCCTAAATGTCACTACAAGTCTGTCAACTTGGTAGCACACAGTATCAATCAGTCTACTTAAGGGGGGGGGGTGAGTACTGTAGAGTGCGAAGGAACCGATTCACAGCTGACCGACCCTCTAGTGGGTTTTCAGAGGCTGTAAACTGTCCATCTTCATTCCACAGAGAAGCTGGTGGAAGTGAATCACATACTCTGCGACTGGCAGTGCAATTCCTTACCAGTAAGCCTCTGTTGTTAAGTGCCGGCGAGTCAGAGGTGACTCTCAGCGACCCTATTAATGAAAATCCTCAAAACCTGTGTGACTGTCATCGTTTCTCCAGGTTCATACGGTTTCTGAAGACAAGCTATTGTGGAAGTGGATACCACTCCTGCTTCCAAGCTTGTTTTAATCAGGGAGCTCCACCAAACACTGTCCGCCATGGATAATCATTATTGCATTTGACATATCAGTGTCACAGTGTTCAGCTTCACAGCGACCACAAGTGATCTCTGTATGGCATGTGGACACACCATGGTTATACAACCTACAAGAATGTTTGACCAAAAACAATTCAGTATTTTACCATTCCAGCACACCCAAATGTTGGCAAACTCTGGGCCAGAGACTCCCAGTTCATCTGGCAAGTCCGCTCTGCCGACCCCCACTTGTGGCAAAAAGAACACCACAAGCACCCTGAGCAGGGGAGACTCTGAGACATCGAGACATCGCAGAAACCAGTAGACCCTACACAGACATCAGAAGTGAGCGCTGCTGCTCATTGCAGGTTGCTGGGCAACATTACACACAAGGAACAGAAACGGAGCTGTAGCCCAATTTCTTAAAGGCAGAACAAACTGACTGAGTTTGCGGGCCACGCAGTTGGGAAAGGGTGAAAGCCGACTATAAGAGTTCACTGCTGAACCTCTCTGAGAGGACAGAGATTGGTGGGCACTAAGACCAACAGCTTGCAAAGATAGCTGGATGAATGAACCAAGGCTAATGGGCAATGGAGAAGGGAATGGCTGGCTTTCTGACCAAAGCAGAAACATGGGAAAGCTTACATAGGGGAGACTATCAGAAAATGATGAAGAGAACCCCTCACTTTCACTCCAGGAAAATGTCAGGTTCTACCACTTGGGTCAGTGTCTGTGCCCAATTAAATTCCTCCCAGGACACAGTGTATACCAAATTCCAGAAAGCAGGCATCTATAAGCCTGAATCAGTACTAGGAAAAGAAAAAAACCTAAGAAAAAAGAGAGATTGCTAGTGTTTCTGAGAAAGACACCAAGCCTAGGCTACCCTCAAGGCACAGTGGTACCGCCACCTTTGGTAGGCAGCCAAGCCACTCCAAAGCCAGGGATCGTAGTCAAGAAAGCTTTCCATAGAACCCAGCAAAGCCTAAAATAAAGGGGGGGGGGGGGCAGAAGACCTAATTCCAACAAAAAATAAGAAGAACATACATACACACAAAAGCAACATCACTTAAAAGCAAAATGAGAGGCAGAGGCAATTTCTCCCATGAATGCCAGACAAACAAAAGATAGCTAATTTTGGATAATGCTAAACAAAGAAAATGAAAAGAGCACTCAGAAATCAAGCTAGTAGAGATCAGGAGAGAACAAAGTAACTCAAAAGGAAATTGAAAAAAACCAAACCACTTCACAACCAAAGAGAAGTCCTAGAACTGAAAAGTAAGTGATGGGCTTAACAGCATAAGTTATAATACTGATGCCACCAATCCCACTGATACCCCCTGGACCTGCTGAATAAGAATCTATACTTTAACAAGACTGCCAGGCAATGAGCGTGCACTTTAAAGTCAATAAACCATTTTTAAAATATAAATCAACTGAATTATAAAAAGCAAGAGAAAGAGTGAAAAATAGAGCTAAACTGACAGAAGATATAAATGAAACTACAAAAAAACCATCAACAGGAAAGAAAAAAAACCAATCAATCCAAAAAGAAATTCCGAATAGATATTCAGAGAGAATTCTCCAAACCTGAGCACTCAACCTGTAAATACAGAACACTGCATGAACCCCAATCAGAAGAGACATGAAAAGATCAACTCCATGCCATAGCTTAACAAAATTCTTGAAAAGCAAAGCCAAGGACAGAATCCTGAAAGCAGTAAAAGAAATACAAAATAACATAGCAAGGATCCACCATATGATATAATACAGATTTCTCAAAAACACCCCCTACAGGTCCAGCAATAACAGAGTAACATGTAAAAATCACTGAGCATTAAATTATTTCCTTGTGCTTTACTGCCCTAAACCTATCAGCCTATCAGTGTCGTTTACTTTTGCACTTGTCAAGATTAATTAAAGGTATGGAAGTTTTGGATGCTAAAAAGAAAAAAAAACAAACCCCAAAACAAAAACACTGAGCAAAAACAATTGCCAAGTAAGAATTCTTTATTCAGAAAAGCTGCCATTCAAAAACAAGAGTGAAATCAAGACAATTCCCAAACAAACAGAAGCTCTAAGAATCTGCAAGCATTACCTAGTGCTGTGAAGCTGTGCTGTGATCCCAGAGGCACGAGGTTCAAATCCACTAACCGCTCCACGGCAAAATGGGCACAATTTACTGGCACCAAAAACCCACTGTAGCGTGAGCTATGGGTTGGTTCCAACTCGAAGGTACACAACAACAACAATGCAAGGAGTTCTCCAGATAGGAAACGAGAATACTTAAATAAGGATTTGTTTATAACACACAAAAACGAGATCAATTATGAAAATTGCGAAAGGCTGGGCAGTAACGAGGACCAAGTACATATTTTCAAGACATAAACTTAATAATCAAATGCTGCAAATAATATAATACTCAGGCAGAAAGAAATAAAGACAAAATAAACTTTATGAATAAAAGCTGCATTTAACAAGGAGCTCTGGTGGTACAGTGCATTATGTGTTTCACTGTTAATCGAAAAGTTAACATCTCAAGTTCATCAGCTGCTCCCTGCAAGAAATATGGGCAGTCTTTTCGGTAAGGATTTGCAGCACTGGACCTAAAAGTAGGGTCACCATGAGTAAGAATCATCCCCAAATCAAGTAAGAGAAAAAATGTGAAGCAGATACATAAATAGAACACAGGTATTATTGTTTTGTAAAGTCAAGTTGCTTGTGACTCACAGCAACCTTATCGACAACAGCTCTGAACCCTGCTCTATGCTGAGGCAACCTTATGGTCCCTGACACATGTACCCCTATTACCCCAGTCACTGAATCCGTCCATCTCTTCCAGGGTCTTCCCCTCTTACACTGTCCCTCCACCCTTCCAAGCAAGACGTCCCTCTCCAAGGACTGGTTCCTCCTTGCAACGTGACCAAAGTATGTCAGACAAAGTTTCAAAATCCATGCCTCCAAGAAGCAGCCTGGATTAACCCTCTCCAGAACAAACCTGTTTGTTCTCCTAGCAGTCCATGGTATATTCAATACTCTTCTCCAGCACCACAGCTTAAAGGCATCAATTCTCCTTCTGTCATCTCTAGTCACTGTCCAACTCTCTGTGAAGACATTGGCCTGGATTTGGCCACCTTAGTCTATAGACTGACATTGCTGCTCTTCACAACTCTGGAGAGGTCCCTGACAACAGATTTTCCCAATACAACTTGTCTTCTGAAAATTTCCTGGCTGCAGGAACTAAGAGTGTTGATTGTGGAGCCAAGCAAACCAGAACTGTTAACAATCTCAATCTCTTTAGGAGACTATCATGCTACTGCCAATTGGCCCAGAGGTGAGAATCTGTTTTCCTTATGATGAGCTTCCATCCATACTGAAGGCTTAAGTCCTTAACCTTCTACAGCAAATGCTTCAGGTCTTCAGTTGTGGCCAGCAAGTTGTGTCATCTGCATAAAAGAGATTGTTGATGAGTCTTCCTCCAATCTCAATGCCCCATTGTTCCTCATGGAGCTCAGCCTACTGAATGATCTGTCTGACATAAAGACTGAAAAGGTACAGAGACAGGATACATCCCTGGCATACACCTTTCCTGATTTTGAACCATGCAGTGTTTCCTTGATCTGTTCTGACAACTGCCTCCTGGTCCAAGCATAGGTTTCGTCTAAGCACAATCAAGTGTTGTGGGATTCCCATTCTTCTCAGAGTTAGCTACAGTTTGTTGTAATCCGGTCAAATGCCTTTGCACAGTTAAACACAGAGAGACATCCTCTGGTAATCTCTGCTTTCAGCCAAAATCCATCTAACACTGGCTAAAATACTTAGCGCCACAGCCTCTCCTAAACCCAGCCTGCACATCTGGCAGTTCTCTATTGATGTGCTTGTTACAGTCATTTTTAAATCATTTTCAGCAGGATCTTGCTTGCATGTGCTATTATTAATGATATTGTTTGATAATTTCCATACACTGGAGGGTCACTTTTTGAAATGGGAATATGGATCTCTTCCAGGCAACTGGCCAGGTAGCTGTCCTCCAGATTTCTTGGCACGACCTGGTAAGCACGTCCAGGGCAGCATCTGCTTGTTGAAATAGGTCAACTGGTATGCTGTCAATTCCTGTGGCCTTGTTTTTATTGCCAATTCCTTCAGAATAGCTTGAATTTCCTCCTTCATCACCACAGGCTCTTGATCATATGTTGTCAGCCAATTCTTTTTAGTATAGTATCTAAGTATTCCTTCCATCTTTTTATTACACTTCTTGGGTCACTGAACATTCTCCCCACAGCACTCTTAAGTATTACAACTCGAGGCTTGAATTTCTTCTTCAGCTCCAACAGCATTAAGAAATGCTGAGCGAGTTTGTCCTTTTTAATTTTCCAACTCCAGCTCTTTTTATATTTCACTGTAATACTGTGCTTTCTCTTCCTGAGCTGCTCTTTGAAATCTTCTGTTCAGCTCCTTAACTTCTTGAATTATTCCCTTTGCTTTGGCTTTTTGGTGCTCTAGTGAAGGCATTTGACTGCGTGGATCATAACAAACTGTGGCTGCCTCTGAGAAGAATGGGAATCCCAGAACATTTAATTGTGCTAATGCGAAACCTATACTTGGACCAAGAGGCAGTCGTCAGAACAGAGCAGGGCAACACTGCGTGGTTCAAAATTGGGAAGGGTGTACGCCAGGGATGTGTCCTATCTCCATACCTTTTCAACCTGTATGCAGAGCAGATTATCCGAGAGGCGGGGCTCTATGAGGAGAAGCGTGGTGTTAGGATTGGTGGACGATCTATCAACAATATGCGTTATGCAGATGACACAACCTTGCTTGCTGAAACTGAGGAGGACCTCATGCACTTGCTGCAGAGGGTCAAGGACTGCAGCCTTCAATATGGACTGAGGCTCAATGTCAAGCAGACAAAAATTCTCACCACTGGACCAATCGGTAGCATCAGGATGGATGGCGAAGAGATTGAGATTGTTCACAGCTTCAGTTTGCTCGGCTCCACAGTCAACACTCTTGGCACCAGTAGCCAGGAAATAAAAAAAAGTATTGCGATGGGAAAGTCTGCGGTTAGGGACCTCTCCAAAATACTCAAGAGCAACAGTGTCTCTCTGGAGACTAAGGTCCGCCTGATACAGGCCATGGTTTTTGCAATCACTTGTTATGCATCAGAGAGTTGGACAATGACTAAGGAGGATAGAAGGAGAGTTGACGCCTTTGAGCTGTGGTGCTGGAGAAGAGTATTGAATGCACCATGGACTGCCAAGAAAACAAACAGATTCATCCAAGAGAGTGTTAAACGAGGCTGCTCCTTGGAGGCAAGGATTCTGGGGCTTCACCTGACATACTTTGGACATGTTGTAAGGAGAGACAAGTCTTTGGAGAAGGACATCATGCTGGATAGAGTAGAAGGGCAGCGCAGGAGGGGAAGACCCTCTGTGAGGTGGATTGATTCAGTGACTGGGGTACTGAGATGGGTGCGTCAGGGGCAATGAGATTGGCACAGGATAGAGCATGGTTTAGGGCTGTTGTACATAGGGTCGTTATAAGTCGCAAACAACTCGACGGCACATAACAACAACAACCACAGTGAAGTATCAAGAGTTTGACATTCATTTTGGCTTTTGCTTCTTCCTCCATCTTTGTAATGACCTTTTGCATTCTTCATGGATGATATTCCTGATATCCTCCCACAACTCACCTGGTTTATGGTCTTTGTACTCAAGAGGGACAGACTCAATAGCAAATTACCCAAGACGACTGCCATGATACTCTATACTCAGAATGGTATCCATCTCCTGAGATCATCATTTAGTGTAACGGCCGACTGGCACTAATAAGAAAAGATCCTACTTACAAGATCAGTGCTCTACTTAAAATCAATATGAAACCAAAGACCAACCAGTAACTACTGAAAAGAAAAAAGATAAAGGGACTAGGGAAACAACATGACTGGAAAAGAAACAAACAAGACAAAAAGAATGTGGACACATTATAGCAAGTAATTAGCAAACATTTTCCGAAATTGTCAAATGGAAACCTAACTTGCTGTGTAAAGCTTTTGTCAAAAACTCAATTAAAAACCAGGTGATTATTTGTCAAAGTCTCAAACAAGTAATTTTTCTACCAGTTAAGAAAGTTATTTCAAAAAAAAAAAGAAAGTTATTTCGAGTTCTTAGCACATCACATCAAAGAAGGAAAATACTTGTTATATGTTATGAATCAACTCAAAGCTGACCCTCGCATGTTTTTTCAGAGGCTACAAATTCCACGAGATGTCTCTTTTTGTCCTGGAAGAGCTGGTGGATCTGAACTACCTGCCTTTGGTTTGGCAGCACAACTCCTTATCCACTAGGCCACCAGAGCCTACTCAAACTGTATGACTTCACTCTAAAACTGAACTGTGACTGCTATTTAATTCCCCATTGCGTTTTCAAGGCTGAAATTCCACGGGAGGAGATTACTCATCTTTCTCCCAAGGAGCCCTTGGTGGATTCGAACCTGTGAAGAGGTACAGACTCTGCACAACTCCCTAGGGACTCCATCAACAGAGTATGACCAATTAACATTAGAGAAGATATGGTTAAAAAAAGGATGTACGAGTAACTATCAAGAACAAAGAAAAAGAATTTTGACAAGTCGAAGAAACTGGAGATAAAAATATATACAACTGAAAACTTCTCAAATACTGTCCCAAATAAACTATGATTAACTTTCCTATTTCAAAACTGCCCACAGAAAAATGTGCTACAGTGAAATTTTAAAAAGTATGAAAAGGAAGTCTAAAATTTAACTAAGATTATTAAATGCCAGCTACACATTTATATGGAAAATTGTTTTATATTCTAAAGGCTACCAAATGCAAAATGCTGTGTCTTACCTTCCAGCCCGGCCTTTTCTTTGTTTGGCATTGGCTTTGCTGACCCACTCTGCAGACATGGTACTGATGTTATTCTGAGTGTCAAAATGCGTCTCTTTTATTTTTCCTCCATCTATCACATACACCACATCATCTATGGTAATGCTGTATGCAAAATAGTAAACGTACATCAAAAGCACTATTACTACTGCTGTTGTTGTTGTGTGCCACTGAGCCAGAACTGACCCACAGCTGACCCTCCAGCGAGTTTTCAGGGCCAGTAAATCATACAGAAGGAGAATGTTGATCCTTCTCCCACAGACCTGCTGGTGTACATGAACCACTTATCTTTGGGATGATAGTGTAGCTTTCTACCACTAGGCCACCAGAGTACATTAAACTATATATAGTAGGCTAATTTTTGTTTTTCTTTTACTGGATCAAACGAATGATTTTAATTCAAGATTTTATCACTCTTCCCAACGTTTCAGGGATGAAGCACCCATAGGAGGTATTAGAAGTTATACAATAAACAGTATGAGTTCTACAGATTTCATGCTAAATTTTTCCTTGCCCATGGCCAAATTTTATAGTCTGCCTAACTCGTGACTTTCTGCATATAACTCTTTGTGCAACAGTCTAATATTCAGATATTATACCTGTATATCATCAGTACTTCAACAGGTTGTATAGAGTTACAAAATTTGTGGACAATAGTATTACTCTTAGCCAAAAACTAGACAAAAGTACAAAATTAAACTCAGCTCTCTTGCTTTTCTAGGCTAAGTTTGAGAAAACAGGCAATCAATCAATTTCAAAGGCTGTTTCTGGAGCGAAGTTACATAGGTTAAAAACAAATTTATGTTGGCTTTATAACTAAGTGATATACTGATTTACAGTTATAAGATACACAGAAAACCCATTAAGATACCATGATTCCTAGGATTTCAAAATTTACAGTTATAAACTATATATGTTTAAACAATTTTACCTAGTTTCTGCAATGTTGGTAGCAATAACTATTTTCCGAACACCAGGAGGGGTTTTTTTAAATACCTGTGAAAATAAATACATGAAAACCCTCAACATGTATTCATTTCTGACACATTAATTTTGAAATTAAAGAAATTATTTGTTCACTTTTACCACTTTGTATTCTTTCAACATGGATTTAAGATACATTTGTAGATTACGTAAGGTTTTTAATAATATATATACATCTTTTAATAAATCAAATTTTCCAAAGATGTCAAAATCTACCACCAATCAGATGGGTGAAGCAGCATATAAATTTATGTCTTTTATCAACAGCTGGGTAGTGTAAATGTCTATTTGTGTATTTAAATTAAAAAGTAGAGGGTGAGTGAGGACAAGAATTATGAGGCTCAGCTTTATACTCAGAATCTAAGCACTCAGGCAAATTCTACCACCCAGCCAAGTGGCTGTAAGTGGGCATGCTGTGCCAGTGTTAGTAACTTGAAATTAGACGACAGTTAAAAACAAACAGCTCTCTTCAAATGCTCAAGCTGACAAACAATGCCACCCAGCAGAAAGAAGAGAATCTCCAAAGACTAGATAGAAAACACACCAGTCTGACACAATGTAAAATGGGAACCAAGAGCAAAAACTGTTTCCTAGTTTGGTCACATATTCTCCAACAAAGGCACAAACCACTTCCGGTGAAGACGTCAGAGAGGACAGAACTGCCATGCTGGCATGCTTCTATGCACTCCTTAGAACCAAGAATTCTTTTTCACCATTCTTTCCCTCACACATGTAGACTTTACCATGCAGTGTGTAATGTGGCTGGCTGAGCTGTACTTGGTAATAAGGTATGAGCAGAAAGGACAGTAGCAAGGTCTGGATAAAAAAGGTCCTGGTATTTTCTTGCCAACTGGTAAGTAGAAAAACTTGAGCAGATTGTTAAGACTATCTCATACTAACAGGAGCTCTAAAAACTGTAGTCATAAAACCAATTTGGCTCTGAGAATGCAATGTTCATTTTAATCAGGACAGTTTCTGATAGAGCAAAAACATAGCACATTATAGATAAAATAGGAAGTCCTGTATTGTGCATACACTAATTCCATTAACTAAAAATCTCAAACATCAAGCTGTAGGAAATCATACATAATGAATTTCCATGTTGAGTTACCGTTCCTGGGATTCGTATTTTTTTAGTCAAGAAATCCAAAAGTAACTAAAGTTCTTCAAACTTTTCCCTTTAGAATAAACTTAATAAACACTGATATAAAACTTAGAAAGTAATAAAATAGCACTGGATAAATAATAAAATACATCTCCCAGTACTGACATTAGTGAAACTGTGTCAACAGTAACAAAATATTTAAAGGAATATCAAAAGTAAAACAAAAAGGTACAACTAATTAACAAACTCAAGGGTTAACCAAAATTAAGCAAAGGAAAAAGGGTTTGAGCCTACTAAAGGTACCTTGGGAAAAATACCTGCTAATCTGCGTCAAAAAATCAGTACCTGAAGCACAGTAGTACTCGGACACAAACCAGACAAATAAAACTGCAATGAGAGTTGTCCATTTGGTACAGTAACTTCCTGAAAGTGCACTGAAGTAGCATACTATCTATGGATTATTCCACATGGTGCTTAATTTTATGAAACATATTGGATGAATGGGAATGATTGTATGAAACACAGTGTGAATGAAAAAGAACGTGAAACACAACGTATACAAACTTTATATGCAAATCAGTATAAATTTTTTAAAATGTCCCTTAAAGTAATAAAGACTGAAATCGTACACAGCAGTCCTTAACCCTGCCTCCACCACTGGCCCTCCCTCCATCTGACAGAGTGCCCTCCTGCACTAACTACCTTGCAGGTTGCTGGACGCTTTGCTGCTGATATTTCAAATACCAGCAGGACAAGCCATGGTGGACAGCTTCAGCAGAGCTGCCAGGTGAAGATGCAGAACTAGTCACCCATTTCTGAAAGAAAGAGCTCTCAAACCCCCATGAATCACCATGGAGCACAGCCCAGTGCGTTGCTGGAAGGGGAGCCTTCAGGCTGGAAGGTGCTCAAAATACAAAATAATGTCCATGCAAATGACAAGGATGGAGGAAAGTACTAATTTAGGAACACCTGACGTTGTCAAAAATGCTTCTGACTTGTGGTACTGGTGAAAAGTTTGAATACACTATTAAATGCCAAGAAACCCAAACAAATCAATCTTGGAAGAAGTATAAGCAAGGTAGAGCCAAAGGTGAAGAGTTAATGAAAGAAAAGATCCTCAATGAGACAAACTGACACAGAAATTGCAATAATGAGCTAAAGTATAGCTGACTGTTAATATGGTGCCAACCAGGGCACAGACTCTATGGATGCTATGAGTTGAAGTCTATCTGATAGTACCTAATAACCAATCTTGCCAGACAAAGATGACAAAAGTCCAGGAGAGTTTTACAACATACCTGTGTCTGGTTCACTGTAGGCATCAGTGAATGCAAAGGTATAATAAGAAATTTATCTGAAAAGCATAAAGAAAATAAAACTTTAAGAAAAAAAGTTGCAGAGAAATCTCATTAGACAATTATTGGACAATGAATTTCAGTATTATATAATTTTATTTTACAGTATTAAAAATCTCCTAACAATTTTTATTCTTTTTTAGTTTCTAAGCGTTTCAGCCATTTAGAGATTTTTTCTTCATATATTTCGTATTTAATAAGCATTCTTCCAAATGCACAGAAACATGTGCAAAAGTTGGAAGCAAACCTCTTTATTACTAATCAAAGATCCATGAATTTTGCTTATTAGAATGTACACATACTTCAAGTGGTATATTTTAATCATTTTTTAAAAAGCACCATTTTTTAGAATATATTACTTATTAAATACCCATGTTCTACTTGAAAAATAACACATGTCCAGCTTTCTGATGCACAGCAAAAAACTGAAGATCATGGCCCAGATGAGGCATACTTTAGTCTTTAAGACTGACATCACTGCTCTTCCGTACTTTGGAGAGGTCTCTGACAGATGGTTTTCCTAATACAAATTGTCTTTTGATTTCCTGACTGCTGGTGCCAACAGCAGCTGACTGTGGAGCAAAGCAGGCCGAAATTATTAACAATCTCAGTGTCTTCTCCACCTATCATGGTGCTAACTGGCCCAATGGTGAGAATCTTTGTTCTTGATTTTGAACTTCAAATCATACTGAAGAAAATAGATCTTGACCTTCTACTGCATATGCTTCAGGTCCTCCTCCATTTTAGTAAAACAAGATTGTTATCATCTACATAACACAGTTGATAACTTTTCTCCAATTCTAATGCCACATTTCCCATCATTAAATCCAGCATCCCTAATGATCTGTTCTGTATACAGGTTGAAAAGGTAAGCAGAAAGGACACACCCCTGACACACTCTATTCCTAATGTTGAACCATGCAGTGATTCTTTGCTCTGTTCTGACAACTATCTCTTGGTCCAAATACATGAAGAAATGAGGGCAATTAGGTGTTCTGGGATTCTCATTATTCTCAAGGTTAACCACAATTTGTTGTGATCCGGACAGTCAAACTATGCTTCTGCATAGTCAATTAAACACAAACATTCCTCTGGTATTCTCTACTTTTGGCCAAGATCCATCTGTCATTGGCCATGATGACTTCAGTGACCCAATTTGCATTTCTGGTAGTATTCTAGTGACATACTGTTTCAGTATATTAGACCTGGTCTTTTCCACACAAACCATTAGTATCAAGAGAGGAAATATTGGATGGGAGTAGGTAATATTGTAGGAGCAGATTCAAAATTTATCAATTTTATTTTTTTGGGGGAAAAAAAAAATCAGCTATGAAAGGCATTTTGTAGACAAACAGAGAAATGTGATTATAAGACCGGATTATAAAATGGTACTGTGATGATGGTACCATATTGCTACAAAGGTAATTATACTTTCAGAGGGGGATACTCTGAAATAAATGTGAGTGCTATAATAAGGGGTTTGGTTTTTTTAAGTCTAAAAACAATTGTTGCTTATGATAGGTATACATAGTTGTTATCCCAGTTGCTTTCTGTAGACTTAAATTTATTATGGTGCTGCTGCTATATCTGGTCAGTTGGAACCAATCCATAGCTGACCCTCCTGTGATTTTCAGAGGCACTAAATTGCACAGGAGATTTGCCACCCTTCTCCCGTGGAGCAGCTGGTGGGATGTGAATCACATGCATTCGAGATTACAACACCGTTTCTTGCCTCTATGCCACCAGTTGTTTGTTGTTATAATGTGCCATCAAGTTGCTTGCAATCCACAGGGACCTATGAATGCTATGAATTCTGCTCTCTCTTGAGCCAATTTCAATGTCTCTGACAAACCTATCTTCATTAGCCCAACACTGAGTCAATTTAGTTCATCCAGAGTCTTCCTCTCTTGGACTGTCCCTCCACTTTTCAAAGCGTGATGGCCCTCTCCAAGGACTGGTCCTTCCTGGCAACACACCCAAAGTAAGTGAGACACAGCATCAAAAGGAACAGCTTGATTTCACCTTTTCCAGGAAGGTATGTTTGTTCTCTTAGCAGTCTATGGTATATTTAACACTCTTCTCCAGGACCACAACTCAAAGGCATCGATTCTTCTTCTATAATCCTTCTTCTTATGTGCCGTTGAATCACCCGAGACTCAAAATGATACAACTGCTCTGAAGCCTGACCTGTCCTGAGCCAGTCTCACTGACTCCAACACACCTACCCCCATTGCCCCAGTTATTATATGAATCCATCTCATCCCAAGTCTTCCTCTCCTGCACTGTCCCTCCACCTTTCCAAGCATGCAGTCCTTCTCCAAGGACTGGTTCCTCCTGGGTATGTGCCCAAAGTATGCGAGACAGAGCTTCAAAATCCTAACCTCAAAGGAGAAACTTGGCTTTTTACCTTCTGCAAAACAGATCAATTTGTTTTCTTAGTGGTCCGTGATTCAAGAATTTTCTAGAACAACACAATTCTTCTTTTATCCTTAGTCATTCTCTAGCTCTCTGATGCATAGCAAACCATGAAGACCATGGCCAGGATCAAGTGTACCTTAGTCTCTAGACAGCATCATTGCTCTTCAGTACTCTGGAAAGGTCCCTAGTAACAGTCTTTCCCAATGCAATCTGTCTTTTGATTTCATGACTGCCGGTACCAAGAGTGTTGATTGTGGAGCCAACCAAGCCGAAGATGTTAACAATCTCAATTTCACCTCCTTTCATCATGATGCTGCCAATTGGCCCAGTAGTGAGAATCGTGGTTTTCTTCAGCTTGAGCTTCAATCCACATTGAAGGCTGAAGTCCTTGACTTTCTGCAGCAAATGCCTCTGGTTCTCCTCAGTTTCAGCAAGCAAAGTTGTGTCATCTTCCTCATTCTGTTGAGTCTCCCTACAATCCTGATGCCACATTCCTCTTCATAGAGCCCAGCCTCCCGAATGATCTGTTTCGTGCACAGACTGAAAAGGAATGGGGAAAAAATGCATCCCTGGTGTACAACTTTCCTGATTCCCCTGTTCCACGTCAGATGGGTAATGTGACAATGTCATGAAAGAGTTCAAGGGTGGCACATGTCATACAGAGGCTCATGCTCATAAATCAGAAAAGGATCAGCCCCTGGTTGATTTTGAACCATGCAGTGTTTTCTTGCTCTGAATACTACCTCTTAATCTAACTATAGGTTTCTCATAAGCACAATGAAGTGTTCTGCGATTCCCACTCTTGTGAGAATTAGCCACCACTTGTTGAAATCCATAGTCAAATGCCTGTGCACAGTCAATGAAACACAGAGACATTCCTCTGGTACTCTCTGCTTTCTGCTAAGACCCACTTAAATTGGCTATTAATATCCCCCGTGCCATGGCCTCTTCTAAACCCAGCCTGCACATCTGGCAGTTCTCTGTTGATGTGCTATTCCAGTTGCTTTGGGGAAATTTTCAGCAGAATATTGCCTGAGATATTGATGATATTGTTTAATAATTTGCACACTCTGTCACGTCACCTATTTTTCAAATGAGAATAAATATGGATTGCTTCCAGTCAGTTGGCCAGGTGCTGTCCTCTGATTTCCTGGCACACCCTGGTGAACACATCCAGAGAATCAACCGTTTACATAAAATATTTTTATTTTTCATTTAAGAAAATTTCAACACTAATAGTAGTTTGCTATAGTGGGGCATGGATAGGATAAAGTTGAAGAATATATCAAAATACCAGTGAGTTGGGAAAAATCAATTGTTAAAAAAAAAATAAAACCTAACCTATACATTTAAGATGTATACATTTAATTGTGCTAATACGAAACCTATACTTGGACCAAGAGGCAGTAGTCAGAACAGAGCAGGGTAACACTGCATGGTTCAGAATTGGGAAGGGTGTACGCCAGGGATGCATCCTGTCTCCATACCTTTTCAACATGTATGCAGAGCAGATTATCCGAGAGGCTGGGCTCTATG